ATTTCTTATAGAAAGAATCATGTGAAGAATTTAAATAAATGAGTCTTCTCTCTGTAAAGGTAAATAGCATGTATTCCCATCCTGTTAATTTCCACAGAAACACAAATATGATACATGGGAACTGGATTCCCTTACAGATTTGGTACTAAGAATAGCAACTGATTCTTTGCCTGCCTGTACTATAAATCACCAGTGGTCCTGGATATTGGTAGTAGGCCTAGATATATTTTACACACTTTTTTTTCTAGGAGATTTTTGTTATAGGGCGTGTGTACTCACCAGAGAGACAGACAGAGACAGAAAGTTAGAAATCAATCCTTTCTCCTTCATTCTCCTCTCAGGACTTTGGGCACCCACACACATGCTCCTGGTGTGAGTTTTAAGCTGCTTGTCTGGGACTTGAACCAAGGTCAATTACACGAGAGTCCAGTAACATAACCATTACACTATCTACTGGTCTCTCAATTAGAATATCTTAAAAGGGGAAAAAGAAAAAAAACCTAGGATTTGATTCATAAAATAACAGCACAAACTTCCTCACTGGTGAATTAAATAATCACCCTATTTTGCCTTTGTATTTTCTATTTAAAAATGTGTGTTGGTAAGGATTTCAGTTAAGGAGAAATAGAAATACCTCTATTTTTATTGATAGTCCAGCTTGCCTTTCATTGAGTTCATACGTCTAGGTGTGTTATCTTGTACTTAACAAATTTATATGAAAAAGATGAGCCCACCTGCCTCAAATTACAATTTATGCTTGCCTTTGAGAACCTATATAGAATTCTGTCCAACTTACAGGGTTATAACATCCCCTTCCTGTTTGAAAGTCAACTATATAGATACAAAGTGCATGTTTTTACATGAAATTTTCATCTGCAGTTCAGCCCACACAAAGCTACCAGTAGGAACTTTAAAGTAACAGAAATAGCAAAAACCATAAACTAATAATATAATAGGATTTTTATATAAAATTGAATTTTCAGCTTCTTCTACTTGTAAAAAAAAAAAAAAGTTTTTTTCTGGTTGCAATGGGCAAGGCAACACCTCAACCAACTTCACTTACCTGCTTTTACACTTTAAGATATGACTTCCTCATTTCTATGGTTTCGGTCTCCCGTAGCTGTAAGGCAAAGCAGATGGCCAGGATGGGGATCATTGAGAGGCTAAGTGATAAATGTGAGGGCTGGGAGTGAAGATTTATCTAGGAATTTCTTCTTTTTTTGGAATTGTTTTATATGTTCATTTATTTACTTTTTAATTTCACCAAAGAGAAAGAAAGGGAAAGTGACAAAGCAAGCCACCAGGTCTGGGACTCGAACCGTGGTCGCCCATGTGGGAATGTCAGCACTTTAACCACCACACCACCTGCTGGTCCCTCTAGGAATTTCTAATAGGTATAAACTCCTTTAAAAGCCCTTGTTTACTTTTTAAAAACCTGATTTCTTCAGTCTCAGGAATAGCCTCTTTGCTTTTTGTACCATCTTGTCTCTTGCTTCTTATGAAAAATTTTCCACCTGAAACCACAAAGAAGTTAAACTCCATCTTAGTTCTGTCCTTATCATTTTGTCACCAAAGCAAGCCCGTAGCTATATTGAGTTTTCTAGGAAAAGTAGAAATGCTCTTGCTTATATCTGCCCATGCATTATGTCATTCACCTAAGGCTTAAAAAATGTACAAAGACTAAGCTATGGTGGGGATGTCATCCTCAAATCTGATATAGATGGAATAAAATAGACCAAGATGTCCAAATGGATGAGTAACCCTGACAAGAACTATATGGGAAGAGTAGAGGGTCAAAAGCATGATTGGAGTGAGTTCAAGAGAAAAATGGGAAGAGAGAAACTGAGACAGTAGTATGTGTAATTCTTCTGAGATGTTTTGCTATAAAGGAAGCCAAGAATTGGAGTAGTAGCTGGGGCAGGATATGGAGACAAATAGAGATTTTTTTTCCCCTCCAAAAATTGGGATTACTACTACATACCATAGCCTGTATGCTGAGAGGAATGAGCACATGGAGAATGTAAACTTGACAGTGCAGTAAGAAGAGGGCACAGCTGCCACAGGGATGTCCTTGAACAGGCAAGTAAGAGTGCTATCTGGTGTTCACCATGAGGGGCTGTCCTTAGACAGGAGTGCAGGTTGATTGATCCTAACAGGAGAGAAGGAAGTAGGAGTGTGCAGTAGGTAAACAGTGGGTGTTGGAGTAGAGGAAGAAGGTGCTTGTGAGAGTTCTCTTGTGATTGTATCTATGGGTAAATTACCGAAGAGTGAAGGGGGACATACTGGAGGTTGGAAAAGAGAGGAGATATGAGATAGTTGTCTAAGACAATGGAAGTGAATGGACTAGGGAACTAGTGAGATTAAGGTCCAGCTCGAAGTTCACAGTAGTGAATTTACATGAGAATAGAAAAGAAAAAAAGGACATGTGTGACCTCAGACATTGTGGTAAGGTAGTCTACTCAGGTATGCTGCCTGCTTCACAAAGTTATTGCAAGAACTCAGCACGTTACAAAGCATTTTGAAGCGTAAGTATAGGACATCATTATTAAGAAACTTAGCTTTGAATTACTTAGCACTTTTCTTTGGCAAAAAACTTTCAGGTTTTCTTAAGGCATCCTTTGTATCTCTAGAGACAGTATTTGGCTTCTGATACTGATTTGCTCAGAACTAAGTCTAAGCGAATGGCTGCAATTCCTTTTTCTTTTACCCTTCCAATCTATAAAATGAGAGTGGTAATGTTTAAAGTACAACAAATGTTTTATAAATAAAAGAGCTAAACAAGCACAAGCTATCTATAAGATGGTATTTGAGCTCTCATTGGTATGGTCACCAGAACATCAGAGTGGTCCAAACCTGTGAATAAGCTCTAAACTTTGGTTAGGAGATGTCTCCCTTAGAAAGCTTCCAAAGAGGAGGGAAAGAAAATTATCTCTAAGTAGGTATCACTACATTATTCCTTGAACCTGCACAGCTTGTCTGAGATTGATTATTAAAATCTAAGATTCAGAGAGGCTAAATAACCTGTTCAAGACAAGTGATAGAGCTTGGATTTCAGGTGAGATTTACCTTAAAATCCTTTGTTCTTTTCAGTTTGCTACATATGGAACTGGGATTGATAGTGTATAGGCATAGAATCTGTAGGATCTTGTATGTATATGTGTGCATGTGTATGAAATGAATATGAAGTATACCTTTTTTTCATATATATTTCATATTGTAGACCTGTATTTTAGCCAATTTAATGTCTGCTACCAAACATTTAACTAGAATTGCCCCGTATTAGAATAAACTGGTTTGTTGGACATACTGTCATTATGGAGTAGTTTACAAGAAATCAAATGACCAAGAATGATAGCAACATTTGGGGAAAGGATCAGTAAGCAAACTAAAAATGGTTACTTACCTACAAATACAATTTTTAAGCACTCTGGAGCAAGAAAGTGGGTGCTAAGAAAAAAAAAATTAATTTATGCAACCCTGGAGCTGCAGGAATACCACATCTGCTGTGCTTGTCTCCAGAAATGCAATAAGTACATTATAAGCGCCAGAGCATAAACTGCTCTAAGAGAAAATCACTGCTCTATTAGATTTTGATTTTTGAGTAACAATTGCCCACCTGATAGAGAAAGTGATAGAAAAAGTATATTTATTTTCTTCCAACAGCTAAAAGGTGATCATACTTCTAAAATTTGTTGAGATTGTCCAAGAAAGTGTGTAAAATACTCATCCATCACTGGAGGCCCCTGGTCAGGAAATGACAGTGCAGTAAATATCTTCAGCAGCCACCTTTTAATGTACAAGCTGTTTTCAGTTGGAATTTTCAGCACTCACATAAAACACACTGTCATGAGTGACTGCTTGTGCTCCAAAGTCATTACTATTGGGATAATGGAACATCTCTCAGCGAATAACCAAAAAACTTTAAATGTCATGTCAAGTTTCTTGAAGCCATTTTCAAGCCCTGTTCAAGGTTACATGAATATTGAGGGTGTCTGTTTTTGTTTTTTTTTTAAAGGTTGAGATCTATGAGAGAGATCCACTCATAAAGTTGTGCAATGTAAGAGTCTCAATTAAAACAAAATCTAGATCTCCCTGGGCAAGTCCATCAGTCAGGGCCTTTTCCTTCTTAGCTATTGCAACTCTCTTTTTATGGTCTTGATAAGTCAGGATCACCCTTGCTTACCAGTGAAAGAAGATATATGTGTGTATTTATGTACACATTACATGTACGTATGTATCAGTGTGTATGTGCTTGACAGCTAGATCATGACAGAAATCTGACTTACTAGGACATTTTACCAATTTGCTGTCATATCATTTCTTCTTTTAAAGGAAATCCCTGACTTTTAAAATTCATATTAGGAGCTTTCTTCCTTGGTTTGGTTCGAAAGAACATTAATTTCATTATTATTCAAACTAATGCTTATCTTAGGAACGTGTAGATCATTTTTTGGTTTTTCTTTTTATCCAACGTATTATTTAATGGGCACTTACTGTGCACCATGGCCACAGTAGTCACTAAAGCTACAGCAGTATTTAAAATAATTCCTGGTGTCTTGGATCATACATTCTAGTAAAGAGACAGACAAAGGACAAGTAAAAAAAAAAAATACATCGTGCAACTGGGGTCATGAGTATTACAGGGGGAAACATGAGGGAAAGAAAAAGAGCAATGAAGAGGGTAAATGCTGTTTTAGATAAATGATTCGGAAAGTCCTCTCTATTTAGAGCAGAGGTCTGAATGAAATATGGACCAACCCCTCATAATAACCAAGTGGCAGGCGTTTCTGGCAGAAAGGAAGAAGGAAATAAGCATTAGTTCTAATAAGATGGTTGTCAGTTTTTATTTTCATTCATGCTTACCTTCTTTGTGTTTAAGTTGACCTTACCTTGCAAAGAGAACTTGTTTATTGAGAATAATTACTTTAAATTTATGTTTCAAATGTGCACAGGTCTTATCACAGTGATAACTTTTATGTTTCTTTTTTTCTTTCCTGCAGAAAATCAGAAAGTGTCGTTGACAGAAGGGTCACGTTCGCACTACAATATCCATTGCGACTCGACAAGAACTCCAGTCACCAAGGAGCTTAATTATAATCTAGACACTCATACGTCTACAGGGAGGATCAAGGCAGTTGAGAAGAAGGAAGCCTGTAATGTTGAAAGCCACAGTAAAAAGGAAATGGAACTTCTTGGCTCTGTTTCTAAAAACGAATCAGTCCCCGAAGTTGAAGCCCTGCTGGCAAGATTACGAGCTTTATAAATTCAACTGGTAAAAAATGATTAAGCCAAATATAAAGCCATGCTTTAAGCTATAACACTTGAAAAAAAAGTACTTTTATATAAGTGACTTTATATACTTTAAATTATGATATATATTAGAAAAATAAAGCTAAATACATGAGTGCAATGCTTTTTCTATGTACTCCAGGTTTTGGCTTATTCATGACTGTAATGGGCTTTAATGCTTTTTTTGTCTCCTGGTATTCATCTGTTCTATATTTGGTGGTTAAATTATACATATTGCTTTAGAGAGCAGGTAGGTGGCTGTGTGCTCGGCAACGTGTCCTTAAGAAAATACCATCTTTCTAAGTCACTGTAATTTTTACTTTACTATTTTCAACATAATGCATGTCAAGTCATCAACTTTAAGTCTTGCTACATTTCCATGTATATTCCATGTACATTATTTATGCAGACCCAGGTTACTTCTTAATGGGATCTACATGCTACCAGCATAACATCAAAAACATACAACTGAATATATCAGAGCTATAATGAAATGACTAATAACCTCGTTATCATCATTGTTGAATACATTTTAATGAGACCCTGTAGGGGATTTTGAGGCAATGGAGCACATTTCCCAAAATCATACAATAAGAATGTACGTACTGTCTTTGCACAATGTGTATGTTTTGTACGAAGGGCATATGAAATGTCCGCTCGGGCAGAGTGCTACCAAGACTCTTGATCTTAGCCAAGAGACGCTGTTCCCCTGGTAATTATGACTCGGATAAAATTGCCATTTTGAAACTTCTCAACAAATTTTTTGATTTCTGTGAATTAGCTTGAAATTAAAATTTCTTTGATGTGACAATCAATAACTAACAGGGATCTGAATAAGTGTTTCAAAGAAAGTTTTCCTATTCGAATGTTACCATTTTACCTCACTTCAGCATCATTCCTCTGTTAATTCCTCGTCAAAGAAAATAAACTTGCTACTTGCACTAATGAAAAAAAGATGCTTTCTTTTCTCTTCCCCCCATTTGTCAGTTACCATATTCTGTGGATAAGATGAGGGCTGACTGTACTACAGTCTGCGTGAGCATCTATTGTGCCTTATTATGTGTAATGAGTAAGTGACTGCTCTTTCACATTCAGGTAAAAAGCAGTTATATGGCTAGTCTGGCGAGGTCCACTGCTTTTTATTTCCTTGTTTTAGTTGCCACCTACTTTCAGCTTCAGGTTAATAAACTTAATTAATTAGAACTATGAACTAGGCCCTGTTTATAGACATTAGGGAACAGAATGTTATCTATAGCCAATGTAAGAATCAACATGTTTCATACATATTGCTAAAACGTGTATTTTGCCCTCTAGTTGCAATAACTTTAAAAAAAAAATCTTAAAAATTAAGAAAAGTGAGGGACATTTACACATCTAAGCAAATAGAAGTCCTAACAGCAGTGCAAGGTTGTTCTGTTTAGGAACAAAGTTAAACGAGAGAATTCTGTCTGTTCTTCATGTCATTTTTGCAAACACGGCTTTTCAGAAACAAAGCTTACTTACATTCAACCAGATTGTTTGAGCACACCGGGTATCAGGTAAACACTCTGGAAACTTGGGGCCAGGGAGCAATCACAGGGGAGGAATCTGGCAAGTAAAGAGAAGTGAAGATGACACAGACTCCCAGGGGCAGAGGAAGTAGGGAAGTCCAGAAACAGAGCAGTCAGGCCCCAGAGCATCTGTCTGCAGGAACTGAAGGACAACTTTCATGCCAGAGGACTGGGAACCCAAGGCTCACAACTCATCAACAGCAGCAGTCCTCTCTCAGGTCAAAGACCAACACTCCCTTTTCATCAATGGCAGGTGCTGGTTCTGAACAGGCCTGAATAGAAGTACCATCGCTGTGGAAAGCAAAATTCAAAATATTAATAACTAGTAGAGATAAGTGCCAACTTGAGGAGCAGATCATTTTCTATGCCCCTTCAGTAATCAGCTAGGTGCAAAATTAGGATTTTAAAGTAAGCAATATTCCTGGGGCTGGCAGGCAGCATGGTGGTTAAAGGTGTCGGACTCCCATATGGCTGACCGGAGTTCAAGTCCTGGATCTGGTGGCTTGCTTTCTCACTCTCTCTCACTCTGTCCCTCTCCATTCAAATTAAAATAAATAAGGTTAAATAGAAAAAAAAAAAAGTAAACAATATTCCTTTAGTAAGCTGAAGGTGAAAAAGTGTAGCAATGGCCTTTAATTTGAGGACCAGTATTGATGTCCAGTTTCATGTTCTTGAGCAAAATTTATTCACTTAAAATAGTAGATATAATGGTTAACTTTATGACTGGTTTAAGGGAGTCTTCGGATATGTGATAAAACCTTATGTCTGGGTATGTCCACAAGGATGTTTTGGAAGAGATTACCATTTGAATTAATAGACTGAGTAGGAAAGCTTGTCCTCACCATTGAGGGTGGACATTACCCAATCCACTGACAGCCAGAGTAGAATAAAAAGGAAGAAGAGCAAATTTGTTTTCTCTGCTTGGGTTAACCTACCCTTGAACATTGACCTTCCTGTTTTGGGGACTCAGACTCAGACTGAAACTTACCTTCTTGGCTCCTCTTGGTTCTCAGGCCCTTGAGCTTGAACTAGAATTTAATGGTCAGCTTCCCTGGGGCTCTAGGCTATAAATAGATTATGGGACTGAGCCTCCATAATCACCAGTCCCAGTGCCTCATAATAAATCTCTCTATATATCATCTGTTGGTTCTAATCTGGAGAAATCCAATCATTCAGATAAAAGACCAGTTTGAAACTGTCAGACTTCAATGCCATTGACAAGGATATACTATTCAGGCCAGTGACAAGGTAGATTATTATCTTTTTTCTCATGTTGGGTACAGAATTTGGAAACATACATGACCAAGTAATCACTGAGTTGTCCAAAAACAAAGACTTTAGCAAGTTTTCCCAAATAAAGTTTTCCCGAATATGTAAAATAATTTTAAAATAATGGAAGCAATGATATCATATATGTTGCATGTCCTTTATTGTTAATATATTTGAGTATTTAAACCAAATAGTGTGGGACCAGCAGATGGTGTAGTGGTTGAAGCTCTGGATTCCCATGTGGCCAACTGCAGTTCAAATCCTGGACCTTGCTGCTTGAAACTCACACCAGGTATGTGTGCACATGTGCCCAGAATTCCAGGAGGAGAGTAAAAAGGAGCAGATTGAGGTGTAGCTATCCCTCCAGAGGATGAGTTCTCACTTCCTGTCTCTCTGGCAAGCACAGGCACCCTGTAGCAAAAATCTCTCAAAAAAGAAAAAAATTATATATAGTGTATATGGAAAATACCTAGTATTTATGTAAAGAAGTATATATTTCAATTATTCATGTCACAATTTTCTGGTAAATCCATAAAATGCAATTATTTATATCAAGTTGCTCCAGAACCCTTTTGTTAACATGCTATTTATTCAAAAACAGGAATTTTATTAATGATTTTAAAATGCTGGTTTAGTTTAGACATAAATGATTATTTCTATTTTAAAACATAATAATTTATTTTTATTTTAAAACATAATAATACAACATAGATCTGAGTTTACTAGTTGGAAACTAAACTATTTAGGCTATAATACACCTCTGTGCTGCATCTCATTAACGAAGCTCTCTTTTATAAACACATATATTCATAGATTGGAAGCATATGTGGTAATTAGTTTTATGGCAAACTTTTGTATGGACCATATGACTTTGGGAAAGTAATAGGTGTTCATCCCAGTGGTGAATTTCTATGTGTATATCTGGGATATCAGAAGGAAATAACAACCTTCCTGGTGCCAAGAGCCAGGTGGGAAAGGTGAGTTTGCTTTGACACAGGGATACTTTTATAATTCTTTTGTATGTTCTTTTGTGTTGTACGCATGTTTATATATGTTGTATATTATGTTTATATGGCATAGTCCATAAGGAATTAAATTTGGCTTGTAAGTAAAAAGCTCTCACAGCATTCAATCCAAATGCTTTCAAGTTCACATGACTTAAGTAAATATGCCAGCTACAAATTTAAGGATAAAATAAGATTGAAAATACCTTAGAAATTGTCAGCCTAGGTTTTATTACAAATGACAAAATTGTTTTAGTATTATTGATTTAGTAAAAATAGATTTCAGAGTTACCAGCAACTTAAGGTAAATATCTAATATCCATATGTTATACTTATTTAACATGTTATAAAAAATTAATAGAAAATAAAATAACAGCCCTTCTGGTATCTTTTGGTATTTATAGATAGGCCAGGCATATAGTTTGTTTTGTTTTTTTTTCTTTTTTTTTTTTTTTTGGAGAGATATTTGCTATAGGGCGCGTGCGCTCGCCAGACAGACAGAGAGAGACAGAGAGACAGAAAGCGACAAATCACCCCCCAGAGGGGATGGGCACGCCGCAATCCCTG